ATAGATAGATAGATAGATAGATAGATAGATAGATAGATAGATAGATATAGATAGATGATAGATAGATAGATAAAAAGAGAGAGAGGTAGAAGTCTCCTGGGTCTGCCACAGCCTCCTCTGATGCTTTGAAATGGGAGGGGAAGGGCTGCTTCTCAACAATCAGAAATAAGCCACTTACGGTCCTCATGTTTGATCTTTGGACTTCTCAGGCCAACTGCTATGGTGACCCCCAGCTTCTTCATTGATTCCTCGAGTGGATGGGGGGGTTTGTTGACCAAGACTGCATCTGAGGAGGTGGAGAAAGCAGAGATGGTGGGGTTTCCAGTTGCCCCGATTCAACCTCTCAGCTAGTAACTGTTCTTCATATGTTTGAGCCTCCAGTCCCCTCATCATCCTGGTTGCTCTTCTCTGCACTTTTTCTAGAGCCTCAACATCTTTTTTTAGAGTGTGGTGACGAAACCTGGATGCAGTACTCTAGGTGTGGTCTTACTAAGGCTTTATAAAATGGTATTAGTACCTCACTTGATCTTGATTGTATCCCTCTGTTAATGCAGCTTAGGATTGCATTAGCTTTTTTGGCTGCTGCTGGACATTGCTGGCTCATATTCAGCTGGTTGTCCACTAAGACTCCAAGATCCCCCTCACAGTTACTGCTATTAAGCCACGTTTCACCCAGTCTATATGTATGATTTTGGTTTTTCTTGCCTAAGTGCAGGACTACTTTTCTCTACATTGAATCCTGGATAGAGGCCAATATAAGATCCTTCTGGATCCTGAGCCTGTCTTCTTGGGTGTTAGCTATTCCTGCCAGTTTAGTATCATCTGCAAATTTGATGAGTTCCCCTTCTATTCCCTCATCTATGTCGTTAATGAAGATATTGAAAAGTCCTGGGCCTAAGACGGAAGCTTGTGGCACCCCACTGCTTACTTCCCTCCATGGAGACTTAGACCCATTAAGGACTACTTGCTTGAGTACGGTTTGCCAACCAGTTGCAAATCCATCTAGTGGTGGTGTTATCTATTCCACTTTTTTTCTAGCTTACCAAGAAGTAGGTTGTGGTCTACTTTGATGAATGCCTTGCTGAAATCTAAGTATACTATGCTCCCCTTTGTAAGTTTGGTGGGTGAAGAGTTGACCCCTGGCCATTTGCTCCCCTTTCCTCTTGGTGTTGGGGGATGGGTGGGTCTCATCCAGTGACCGAACATGGAAGGATGGTGTCATCTCAGTGGTCAGACACAAGTCACATCTCTGGAGATCTTGGGTTGCTTGGGGTTGAGAGAAACCATGTTGGACAAAGGAGGGGGCAGCCCCCTCACCCACCCTCCCAATTTTCTGGCCATGCGTCCCATAAACCATGCATGAAACAGGTGTGGGTGGAGCTCCTCCCACTTTCAACCAGCCTGTGGCCAGCAAAAGGCAGAAGGACACGTCCGTGGGCCAAGCAGGACTTACATAGGTAGCTCACCGTCATCAGGACCACAAGGCAGATGGTGGCCAAGGTGGCGAGAAGAATCCACAAGACGGTAGAGGAAACTTGGCTGAAGGGATTCATCTGGGTTCTCTTCTCACCTCCAGGAGCCATGACGGAAACTTGGCTTTTGACCGGCCTGGGTCCCATGGCTTCAGAGCCGGAAGCAGAGAGGAGAGAACAGCTGTGAAGAGACCCACCTGCCCCCATCGCCCAGAGCGAAAGCCACAGCCAGCCCGAGGAATATTTCACCCCTGCGTGCGTTGGACGGCCATGTTTAATTAAAACAAAGAGTAACTGAGAGTCAGGCTCGTCCTGCATTTGGTCCTCTGCAGGCAGGAGGACTGGGGGGGGCGTTGGGGGAATGTTGGTGCAGCAACACCTCCAAAACCAGGGGTGGGCTTCAAATTTTTTAGCAAGGGGCTCTCTGCCCTAACGACTGGTGGGTGGTCATGTGACTGGGTGGGCATGGCTAGGTGGTCATGTGATTGGGTGGCATGGGTGGGTGGTCCTGTGACTGGGGGGTGCGGCCAACTCAACGTCGCTTCTTTGCCCTAATTACCTCAAAAAAGATAATATACCAAAAAGTTGTTTATTATTTTGTGCATTTAATACTTAAGTCAAAGACTGGATGAAACCAGTTTTTAATAGCAGTGATTGTGAGAGGGATCTTGGAGTCTTAGTGGAGTTTCTGATGAGTTACGTGATCCTTATTATTTGGGAATTAATCCCTGCGGAGGCTGGTGCCTATGTTATCTGATTTTTCTCAATGGCTCTCCCTTGCAAGTGCTGAGTGGATTGTTTATCTAGCTTGCAACACTTTTACGAGATGTGAAATGCTCTTGGCTGAATGCCCAGAAGTTCAATTGAGCCTATTAAGAGCTTTCCCTTGCTGCTTGTCTTTCTGAGGTTACTGGGGGTTCTCTGAGCCCCACGGAGTCTTAGCTAGGGGCTCTCCTGAGCCCACGAGAGCCCCCAGCAGCCCACCCCTGTCCAAAATAATGCAAACACAAACTTTTGAGACAGAGGTGGTATTCAGCAGGTTCTGACCAGTTCTGGAGAACTGGTAGCGAAAATTTTGAGTAGTTTGGAGAATTGGCAAATACCCCCCTCTGATTGGAGATTTTACAGCATCCGTCCCCTGCCACGCCCACCAAGCCACACCCACAGAACTGGTAGTAAAAAAATTTGAATCCCACCACTGCTTTGAGATCTTCAGGGTTGTTACAACTCTTTGGGAATGTTTAAGAAATGTCTTTTAACTTCTGAAAAGAGAGATCCCACAACACCCTGGGATCAACATCAGAGAGGAGTCTGGGAATGGCAAGGTGGCGGGGAGAGGGCTACAGAGATCATCTAGTCCAATGCTCTGCTTAATCCAGGAGTCCCCTTCTCTGTTTCCCTGAAAGGTAGCCGTCCATAACATACCTTTTGTTTGGAGCTCCCTTTAGGAGGCTCTGGATGCCAGACAAGGGGTTCCCTTGCTCACCCTCTGAGCCTGTTGTCAACTCCTACAAGCTTCCTCCTTGGTGTTCCTCCTTGCCTTCTGGTTCCACTTTAAGGGCCTACTCTTCCTTTCCTCATCCTCCAAGGCTCAAACCGCCTGCTAGTCGGCTGCTGGGGGCCCCTTGCCAGATTCACAGCCGCCAGCACACCTGCAGCTGGAAGGGAAAGTGGCATTGTGACATCACGGGGGCCATTCCCTGAGAAATGGAGCCCACCTCTTTGCTCATGGCTCCTCTGGCACAGGCGAAGGAGCCTCTTGTCAGGTGCAAGTAACCCATTCACATGTGACAGGATCCAGCTGATCTCTTTATGGTGTCCCACCTACAGTACAGGAATCGCCCCAGAGAATCTGCCTTCCATTGGGAACAAACAGACTAGTTTCCATGGCACCTTGGGATGGTTAGGCTGAAGTCTCTTGTGACTATGCAAGGACTCTAGGCTAGTTCTCCACTTGATTCCGCTCTCCTTGCCTGGCTGGATGTTTCCCAACAAGGTCAACAGAACCTCTCTTTGGTCTCCATTGGCCCTAGAAGCAGTCAGAACTGGTGGGAATCTGAATTAGCTCTGGCAAAGGAGGGCTGTCTTTTTCCTACTGAAGGCCAGGGTCACTTCCCCAAATCTGGTGCGGTGTGGATAGATGCATTTTACAGCATTCTCAAACATGTCAGTTGGGAAAAGGGGGCTGAGCCCCCTCTCCAGGAGACGCCTTCACAAAATAAGGACAGAGTCCATCAATAGACAACATCATCCTGTAACCGGACTACAAACCAACTCAGAATTCAAATCAACTGCACAGCCAACCAGCGATGGCAATGACCCTCAACCAACATACTCCCCACTTCCCCAACCAGCTCTTCCCCTCCCAATAACCCTTACCTGGCATGGCTCTCCATCACAAGACCCATCTCAAGACCCCCACCTGACATGGCCTTCCCATCACAAGACTGAATACACGAAGCCCTTATAAGCACAACAACACCAGTACTCACATCCCCTAAACTAGGGGGTCTGCAACCTTAAACACTCAAAAGAGCCATTTGGATCCATTTCCCACTAAAAAGAAAACCCCGGGAGCCAATAATTTAACAGCCGGTGTGACTGGGTGGGCGTGGCCAATTCGACATCACTCACTCCCACCCAGTCACCTCCTCCTCTGGAATATGGAGCGAGGGAGGGGAGGGGAGGGACCAGCCAGTGATGGGATCAGCCGACAGGGAGCTGCAGCAGAGGGCCGAAAGAGCCGCATGCGGCTCCAGAGCAGCAGGTTGCAGACCCCTGCCCTAAACGCTGCTGAAGATGTTACGTAGTCTGGTAACGAAATGTACAGAAATGAATCCACAACCTTCACCCTTGTACAGTGCCTAACCCACAAAGGGCGTCCTTCCCTTATTCGATTCACCAGATAAGCCATTTGCAGCTGGGACTGGTAGTTTGTACAAGCACAGACACTGGCTGGGTCGCTGCTGATGCTCTTTAAGACGTGGGCCCAATGGGGTGAGTTTCTCTACTGGAGGCAGTTTAACTAGAATTCAATGCCACCTTTCCTGCTCACTCCCACCTGACCCCAGTCCTCCCCTGTGTGTCCAGCTCCTTTCTTTCCCATCTTGTCTCCTTGATTTTGTTCAACGGTTTTATTTGCTGTGTTTTTATAATGGATGATTTTAGTTAGATATGACATGGGTGGCAAATAAAATTTAGGTAGGTAGGTAGGTAGGTGGGAAGGAAGGAAGGAAGGAAGGAAGGAAGGAAGGAAGGAAGGAAGGAAGGAAGGA